AAAAAAAAAAAAAAAGTTGTAATTTCAAACTTGGATATACTCCTAACCAACTTTTGATTTAAGTCTTCACTTCTTGACCATATCTAAAGGAATTTAATTTTTTTTAAATGAACCAAACAGATACACCAAATATATTTTTAAAATTATATTTAAAAAAATTAAATTTTAAATATGCACAAGCTATATCCGAGTACCTTAATTGTTCAAATAAAAAAGGAAAAGCCAAAAATGGTAACTCCATTGTTCCTAGTTCAATGGAGTGCTTGGTGTGATGGTGGAAATAAAAATAATATAATTATAAATTTATAATAATATGTAAAATTATAAATATGTTATTATATATTTATTTTTTTTTTATAATTTTACATAATGCTCTATATTAAAATTATAAAAAAAATTTTATTTTAAAACTTAAAATATATTAAATTATAAAATAAAAAATTTTAATATTAAAAAGTTACTCCTTCTAGTAATTAAAATTAAGTAGTTTAAAAAAATTCAAACCACAAAATACTATTATTAAAGTTAGTTATACTTTATTTTTAAAATAGAAGTGTTCACATAAAAATATGTTACCGTCGTTTTTTTTTTCTTTAAATCATAGCTCACTTTTTTATTTTTTTGGAACAGAAGTTAAATAAATCATACCTCACTTATTTTCACTGAGGGGAAAGTTTTAAACTTCTCTCAATAATGGTACTAATAAGATTACCAAGAAAATAATATTCCTAACAAGAACAAAAAAAACTGATGTTTTTCAGTGTTCCAAGTTCCAACCTTGTACAGCAAACTGGGGACACGTTCATATATAATGCACACCAGAATCCATACCCATCAGACAAGAAAACAGGGACGTGTTTTAGTGCTCCGAAACCAAACAATGATTGTATTGTTTTTTTGCAACATCTTTGGATCAAAATCATACTGAAATTTCATTTTCTTTGTCTTGCAATCTGTATTTCTTCTCTGTGAGGAATACACTCAATCTATTGCTTCCTCAGCAAATCAGAGGCTTCCCCAAATGCCGCGCACAGAGAAAGGAAAAGGGCATCTTTTCTTAGCTTGAAGAAATACGATCCCCTTCTTGTAAGTCTCCCCTTTCCTCCATCCTCACTTTTTCTATCTTTGCGTTTTTCTGGTACATCCCTTTTCTTGGGTTCTTTGTTGGCTTTTACCTTAAAGTTCTTGGATTGGGAAAGGTCTCTCTCTTTTCCTTGCCATTTGGGGTTCTCGCTTTTCCCCTTTCTGGGTATTTCTTCTTTCTTGTTTCTGGGTCTTTATAACGATTTTGGATGTGTTTTTCACGATTGGGTTTTCCCAATTTGTTAAAATTTTTGAGTTTCTGTATGTTAGTGAATGGTTAGGTAGTTGTATTATTGTTCTTTTCAAATTCACAAACTTTTCTATACTTTTTCATCTTTTTCATCCTTTTCATCCTTTCCCTCCTTATATTTCAAAATTTTGTCATTTCTAAACAAACTTTTACATGTCCCTTTGCTCCAATTTCTTCAGCCTTCTAATGCTTGAATTGGATGTCTTTTCTTGATCTGCCTATGAATAACATTAACCATCTGTTAATACATGCAATTGGGAGTCTATTTTCCCAGGCTTTGGTATGCAGGGCGGATATATATTCAAATTCTTGGGTTTGGTATGCAGGAAAACCAGTTAAGGGGAGGAAGTTTTGGGCTTGAATTATTGGATTCCATAGGACATACTGATTTTGATTATTGACTGCTGTGAATTTGGCTATGGGAGATCATTTTGTATTATTAGTGGATAGATTGATAACTGAATCCACAATCGAAGCTGCAATTGAGAGCAGGAACCGGGCTTTGCAAGCCACTACATCAGCAGTTGCTGACACAA